GATGTATGTATGGATTGTGATAGGAGTTGTATGAGCCCCTAATAAAATAATTTTTTTAAAAAGTCCTTCCCCAAAGGAAAAGCATCACCTCATTGAGAGGGTGAAGAGGATGAAATTAGAAAATTATTGTACACTATTTGGTTCAGCTGAGAATACTTCCAGTTATAATATAAACAGTGAATATTGACTTACCATATACACTCGAGTACAAGCTGACTCCAATATCAGCTGAGGCACCTTATTTTACCACAAAAACTGCATTTTAAAAATGTGCTGAAAAACCCAGCTTTTACTCGAGTATATACAGTAAGTTAAAAAAATTATGTGAAGGCTATGTTGGAAGGATAGATGACATAATGTGTCTATGTAACAGATAAGGTGAGTAAAGTATGGAATACTAAGGAATAACTTGTTTAGAGGGGAGGCAACTAATGTCCAAATTTATATATCAAGAAATATTTTTAAAATTTTTAAAGAAATATCAACAGAAGTACATTATTTACCAAGATGAAGCAAGCACAAGAACAGTCAAAGAAAACAGAAGCCTTTAGAGTGCCGAGACTGGAGCTAGGGACAGCTTCTATTCATGTTATTGTAATTTAAAACTGATTTTTAAACGAAGGGGAATACATGGATTAAGCCTCTGAGGACTCCCCTCTAACCACTGACCAGAGATGTGAATTGCTGACATCCAAAAAGTGGACTGTTGCAAACGCAGTTAACTTTTAGCACTCTATCATTTGATCTCCTTTATGATACATTTAATTTTTTTCCCCTTTTGTAAAATATTTTTATAAATTTTATTGAGAGCTCTTACAGCTCTTATAACAATCCATACATCAATCGTATCAAGCATATTTGTACATATGCTGCCATCATCACTTTCTAAACATTTACATTCTATTTGAGCCTTTGGTATCAGCTCCTCTTTTTATCCTTCCTATTTTCTTTCCTTTGATTAAAGTTTTTATCTTAGTTTTGTTAGTTTCTTTTTTAATGTTTTTCTGTGTATGAAATCCAGGATAGGTAAATCTATAGAGACAACTAGATTAACGCTTCCTTGGGTGATATGGCAGGGGAGGTCGTGGGAGATGGGGAGCTAATAATGAGTGTAAGAATTAAGAAAGTGCTCGCTTCGGCAGCACATATACTAAAAGAAAAAAGAAAATGCCCCAATAAGATGATTTATAATTTTTTTAAAAGAATGAAAAACTGTTCTAAAACTGGTGATTGTATTAATACTTTTTGTATTAATACTTCTTGATGTGACTGAACTATTGCATTGTTTATGTGAATTATATGCTAATAAAACTGTTGAGGAAAAAAACCTGGTTTTTAATGGAGATCTTGAAGCTTTTAGCAAATTAGATGCTCAGTAACATTGCATGAGGTTAAAACAAACTACATCTACACTGCTAATAAAACCAAACTTTAATGTTTGATGGGAACACAGTACAGACAGCCCTGTTTGAATTCTAGCTCCATCGCCTTTCTGTGAAATACAGGGCAAGGCATCTAACTCCCCTGCACCTGTGTCTATCCCTCAGAGGGTTTCTGCAAGGATAATTAAATGAAAGCACACGGTGCAATGCGTGATCTATAGTAGCCGCTCAACTGATGCCATTTGTTCTGAATGCCTTTCTGTCCCCTAGCTACAAACACCTATTCTGACCTCAACCTGCCTTGTTGGTCAGAGTGCAGACACCCACGGACAACTCAGCACATATTCCTCCTTGTGCCAGAAAAGCAATCATGATAAGCAGACTGATTGTATATGAAGAGCAGTATTACTCTTGTTATAAGAGGGAGATTATTCCCATTATCTACATTCTGGATTACTACTTGCTCTCCAAAACTGTACCACTTAGTCGTCTACAACACTAGGTCAAAACCATACTGTCATTCAAATCTGTTTTGTAATGTTACATCTCAACAACAAAAAAATAACACCTGTACTTTGCACCAGTCTTCACCTCTGACCTTTCACCATTTGGCTTCAAATTTTTTTCAATGCAGACCCTATCTGGTCCCAGTTGGAATGGGACCAACTCCTGCTTCCTATAGCAAGAAGAGTGCGAAATCAGTCCAAATCAGCTAACTGAATCCCATTTCCAATGTTTTCTTTCATTGCCATGCTTGAATTCATAATACCCTGCCAAGTACATACAGATCTTAAAATAAAACAAAGACAAAAATAGTATTATCTTTTTCTATAGGTCATCTTTACTTGCATGGTCAATAGTCATACCAAAAACCAAACTCACTGCAATCAAGTCCATGCCAACTCTCAGTGACTCTGTAGGGCAGGGTAGAACTGCCCATGTGGGTTTCTGAAGACCGTAACTCTTACCATCAAGATTTTAATTAACACAATAAGCAATATGCTAAAACACTGCAGATTAAAAAGAATAAAATGTGATTCCTGCCCTCAAAAGAAAGGGGAAAGGTAAAGAATAAAATAATGGAGAAAAACAGTCAAGGAAACTGAGCACTATTCGAAGCTACCTGACAAAATAATTTATAACACAGTTGAGGTGAAAGAAAATGACAAAAACTGCGCACAATTCAGTTCTGAGCCTCCTGTCAAAGTGTACAGAGGAATATTGTTCTCAGGTGCAATCACATCGATTCCTACCTCTCTCAACTCTACACACAACAGAACTAAAACACTGCCTGGTCCTCAGCCAGCCTCACAACTGTGCCTATGTTTGTTTGGGCCAACTGGCACAGCCAAGGTGTCAATCTATCTCCTTAAGGGCCTACCTCTCTTTTGAAGAGAAACAGAATGACTTTAAAACTACCATGCTATATTAAAATGAAGTTATTTGTACAAAAGCTCTTAAGAATTTGTTTCTAGGTTTCTATTTTATAAAGATCATTGAAAAAAAATCCATGAAGAAAAATGATGTCATGTTTTTTCTTATACATCAAGTCTAGGTAAGAGTCAAGATACATAATATCAAATCATAGTTCTATGAAGAAATCCCCATGAGAATTTAAAGCAGCATTATGCAAAGACATTGATTTCAAAGAACAAGTTTATTTCAGGTCATTTGGTTCACTTTAAGTTTCATATAAATGGTTCAACTCCCTATTAAGCTATAAGCTCCTCAAGGATTATGCTGTTTCCATGTGAACTTCCCTTGCTGTTTAGAATGCTTTAGTCTCCAATCAATTATGATTGCTTAATGTCATGCAATTAATAATTTTTATTATGTTAGTCTTCTCTGCTAAACTGCAAATCCCATGAGCAGGGGCAATGTCTTAATCACCACTTTACCACCATTTCCATTAATATTAGCTGAATAAATGAAATAAAGGGGAAAAAAACACAAGAAGTATTAAAGCAAAAGAGAAATATTTCTTAAGATGGAAGTAACTAGGTTTTAAGGCAGGTTTTACGAAGATCTGGATGACCTAAGATTGAGTTACTTAACTTCTCTGACCTCTGTTACATGTTTTATCTATTTAACAGGAAAAAATAACACCGCCTTAAATATAATCGATTTAATAGTATAAGCATTAAACATTTTAATATATGTAAAATATTCAGCATAATACCTTCAGAGGAACTCAATAAATGTTCATTCCTCTACTTTCTCATATGTCCTCCATATTAAAAATCATCATAGTGCCTTCCAAGACTACATTATTTCAGGAAAAAATACAAAATAAAAAAATGAGGAGGTGATACCAAGGGCTCAAGTAGAAAGCAAATGTTCTGAAAATGATGATGGCGACAAATGTATAAATGTGTTTGACACATGGGTGCATGTATGGACTGTAATGAGTTGTACAAGCCCCCAATAAAATGATTTTAAAAACCACAAGAGTAAAAAAAAATACAACATATAACTGTCCATTCTTACTCTCTAGAAACTTCCCTGTCTTCGATCTTTAAACTGTGGGTGAGGGACATAGGGAATAACATCTGGATGAAGGTCAAAATATGACAGACACATTAACAAGTGGGGGGGGGGTAATGTAAAAAAAAAAAGCCTAGGGGGATATCACTTAGCCATTAACTAAGACACGGGGGCTGTGAAAATACCATTCATGTGCTTGCTTCGGCGGCACATATACTAAAAAAAAAAAAAAGAAAGAAAATACCATTCATTTAAGAAAAACATAATGGGAAAACTATTTTTAGGAAAAGGTTTCACAATCGTGTCACCCTGAAGTTCAAACCTGGGAAACCCATTATTTGGTTATCTTTCACTAAGCACTTCCATTGGAACCTACAAGGCTCAGATTTCTCAGGGTCTGATCTTCGTGCAAACACCGAGCGGCTTCCGTCGCTTCGCCCCTCACGCTCGGGATGCACGCGCGGAGGTCTGTTATCCCTGCAATTACCACACCCCTGTCAGCCGCTTCCCGCCCGCGTAGTGATGACAGCCATACGGGCGGTCCTTTCTCCGCGCCACACACACACACACACACACACACACACACACACTCACACTCACGCTCACGCTCACGCTCGCCCGGCAGCCGGCTCCGCTGCGGCGGGGCGGTAACTTGTGAGCTCCCAAGACGATCCCTTCCCGCAGGCCTCGCCGACGATTTTCTACTCGCCAACCGCGCTCGCTCCTCCTCGGCCG